TTCTCCTCCAGCTGCCTCCAGCTGTCCAGTGACAGCTATGCTGCAGCACACGGTTTGGCCTCATTCTTAAAATGTGCCTCTAAAATTTCTATTTTATTTTCTGGATAACTTTTGAAAGATGGTTCTGCTAGATTTTCTAATGAAAGTTGGCATATAGCTAGCAAATTTTTCAGGTATTTGGATAGGAAGGGGCTTAGACACTGGTGTTTTTTTTTTGTTGTTGTTTTGTTTTGTTTTGTTTTTCCAGCTTTAACACATGCATGGAATATATGGTGGAAGAAGTTTTCATCTGTAAACTGGTAGATAAGTTCATTAAGCTCTAGGTGTTTGATACCCAGATCTTGTTTAAACTTGTCAGTAAAGACTGATAACATTTTTAAATTTATGATTTTGTGTCTTTTTATTTTTATTTTTTGTTTTTGCTTGTATGGATATTTTAGCTCAATGTTTAGTAAGTGAAAAAAGTAAATCAAATACTAGGAATGATTAGGGAAGTACTAGAGAATACAACAAAGAACACTGTGTTCATCCATGTTGAACTTGTATCTTAGATATTGTGTGAGGACATGCCAACCCCTTCCACCAATAGCACATACCAAAAACAGAAACATAAAGCTGGAAAAAATTTAGATAAGAGCTAAAAGAACATGTGAACAGCTTCTATGCAAGCAGCACATAGGTTAGCACTCTTCATCCTGGAAAAGATGTTTAAGGAGGAAAGGTCAGTCTTATAAAATTCCGAGTGTCATGGAGAAGGTAAGAAACTTAATTGTTCACAGTCTCTTCTGATACAAACATTCAAGGGCAGTAAATGAAGGTGGCAGACTCAAACCAAGGAAGAGGAAGTGGTTCTTCACAAAGCATGCAGTTAAGCCACAAAGCTATGAAACAGCGAGGATTACTGTTTACATAAGAAAGTACCTTGGGCTCAGTGTGTCCCTAAATTGCAAATTAGAAACAGAGTCACGTAGGTTGGAAGGGGACACCTAGTCTAACCCTGCGCTCAAAGCAGGCCCAGGTGAAACAGCTTTTCCAAGACTTTGTTTGGCCAGGTCCCACATGCCTCCAAGGTGGAGATTCCACAATCTCTTCGGGCATCACCAGTGTCTGTCCACCCTCATAGCAAGAATTCTTTTTCCTATATTGAGTGAGAATTTCCCAAGTTTCATGCCATGTCTGTTGCTGCTTTTGAAATTCCAAGATGAGAGTCCCTGCCTGAGCTATTTTGTAGGTAAACTGGTCTCCATCTGTATCACAGCTATGTCTGTGCCTGGCCAAAGAACCCTGTTTTCTTGGGCCTGACCTGCAATCTGAGTTCCCTGCTAGACTTCAGACCTGGATTATCACCAGAAAGTAGTGTGATAATCTGGATTTTTGGCAAAATCCAGATGCCGTCCGTGTGCCTGCCCTCCTGCCTTGTACAGAGACTGTGGAACAGGGTCCTGGATGGGGATGCCCCTTCCTCCCTTGCTGTGTTCATCTCCCCATCCTTTAGGAAGCAGCTGGTCCTTGTTTGCCATTTCAACAGCTTTCTCACTAATTGGCCCCCAGCCTGTACAGCTGCACAGTGTTATTCAACTCTTGTGTTTGCCTTCATTGAACTTCATGAGGTTCCTGACAACCCATTTTTCCAGCTTATCTAGCAACAAAAATACACAGGAGGCAGGTATCTTATTCACCCCCCCATATTTTGGTATCATCTGCGAACTCACTGAGTGCACTCTCACCGAGATTGCTAATAAACATGTTGAATGGTATTGCTACTGGTGTTGATCTCCATGGACAATCACTAGTAAATGGCTGCCTGTTGGACTTCTTACCTCTGATCACTGCTCCTCAAGCCACACAGCCCACCCAATTTTCTATCCACCCTATCATGCACTTAGCCAGTCCATATCTTACTCGTTTGCCTGTACGAATATTATGGGAGACCATGTCAAAGGCATGCTAAAGTCAAGGTGTGCAATATGTACTGCTCTTACATTGCTAACACAACTAGATGTCTCATCATAGAAAATCAGTTGGTTAGACACGATCTGTCCTTGGTAAACACATTCTGGTTGTTCCCAGTTACCATCTTCTCCTTTCTGTGGCTGGAAATAGCTCTCAAGAGGATTTGTTCCTTGACCTTCTGAGGGATTGGAGTGAGGCTGACCAATCTGTACTTCCCTGTACTGTTTGCCCTTATTAAAGGTGGGTAAGATGTTTGCCTTTTCTCAGTACTCTTAGATGCTCCTAATCTGGTACAGTGGACTTCTATATGCTCGGCTGATTTAAGCGCTCCTTGATTGTAATTTCCTCTGCATTTTCACTGGCTCAGCTAGTAGGTAGTGGGAACCAGGCAGCCAGAGAGGAGACCTAGCCAGTGAAAACAATGTCAAACAAAAACAAAAACAAAAACAAAACAGTGTCTCAGCTTCTTCCGTATCCTTTATCACTAGGTCCTCATCTGCACTGAGCACCAGGCCCAAAATTTCTCCAGCATTCCTTTTGCTGCTAAAGTTGTTCTTGTCCTTCACATCCCTCACTAGTTTCAATTTCAGATGAGCTTTAGTTTTCCACATTCTTTACTCTGTACTCAATAAATGCTTCTATAGTCTTCCTGGGTAGCTTTCCTTCTTTGTACATCTTTATCGTATTTTATATTGGCCTCTAGGGCAATCTCCAGTGTGATTCTACTGAGCAAATCCCTGAATAACCCAAAACTTGCTCTTCTGAAGTCCAGAGTTGTGATCCTATTGTTTGTCTATTTTGTCTCAAGACTTTTAACTCCATGATCTCATGGTCACTGCATCTAAGACTGCCCTTGACCTTTACATTGGTGACTTGCTAGTAAGAATGAGGTCTAGTTGACCATCTTCTTTAAACAGCTTCCTTATAAACTGTGTCAAGAAATTTTCATTGACATGTTCCAGAAACCACCTAGGTTGCTTGTCTCCCAGCCCTGTTGTCCATGCAGCAGATATTTGGGTGGTTGAGTACAAATGAGTATCTGGCTGTACGCCTGTAAAGCTTCTGACCGTCTAATGAAAGCTTCGTCTATGTCTTCTTGATCAGGCAGTCTGTAGCACATTCTTACCAGAATACCACCTCTGTCAGCCTGTGCTCTGGTTGTTAGCCATAAGGTCTCAGGTGGTACCACTTCACCTGTTCCAAGGCAAAGCTTCCATGCTCTCTAGCCACTCCTTTGCATAGAGTGCAAACCCTCATCCTTGCCTTCTCAGGCTGTTTTTCTTCAAAAGCCTGTATCCATTCACTGTAGCACTCCTGTCACGTGAGCTGTACCATCATGTCTCTAATTCCAATGAGGTCACAGATTTACAACTACATGGACTTCTATCTCTTCTTGTTTACTTTCAGGATGTATGCATTTGTGTACAGGCACTTGAAACGTGCCCCGAGCTATGCTGATTTCACAGGGGGAATGTGAGAGCCTCCACAGTCATGTTGTCTCTCAGATGTTTCCTCAAACAGCTGACTACTGGGAGAGTATTTGAAAAAGTATCATTATATGTTTTTTCTATTTTTGCACTCTTCCACCGAAATCTGCTTTTGATCACTGCCTTTGGTGTGTACCTGAAGAATTGCCACCAGCAGGAGGGGTTATGTCTGTTAAATTCTGATGTCAAGTGTAGGACATAAACCCAAGACTCTGCAAGACAGTCAGAAAGTCTGCTGCAGAAAAACTCATAGCTTTGAGCCTAGTACCTCCACCCCCGCTTGGCAACCATCCTGAAACAGGATACTGGGCTACACAGACCCAGTACAACCATGCTCATATTCTTGGGTTGCTGCCCAGAGCAGATATGCAAACTGAAATACTTCTTTTGTTCCTCTGCCTTTTAAGATAATACTTGATTTGGAACTGCTGAAATTCTTTCTAGGTGTTTTTCATAATTGTTTTTTAACCCAGTCATCTTGATGCTGAGTAGTTCTTCAGTCTACTTGGATGCTAATTGAGATATCACCTAGAAATCCATGTTGTCAGCAAAATCTAACTCTCCTAATGTACTGTTGCTGAACTAGGCAATGCATGTGTTACAGCAAGACATTTTTTTTTTTTCATAATGAATGAATGAACAATGCTTACAGAAAATATGAAAGAACACTTTCCTATTCAACACAGTCCACATTAAACATTTTAACATGTTCTCACCTTGATCATACCTTAGACTAAGTCCTATATGAAGACTCATTAATTTTTTTTTGACATATTGAATATTTAGGTATGCTTCAGAATGATTCATCATGATCCTGTCAAATAGTTTCTGGAAATTTGTAGTTTATATAACAACTTTTGTTTTTATTGCTCCGTGTTCAATTTCAAGACTGCTCTTAGACTGAAAAAAAATCTGTAAAACACATGACTTTCGGAATCAAGCCTTGATTGATTATCCTTTTGCTTTCTTTCTTCCATTCAAGGTGATACTGCAGGAGATTTGGTATCACTCACAAAAGCATAATACATTTCAAATACATTTTCAAACGCAGGATACCCTGTATTATCTTGATTACTGTGCTATTTTCTTATTGTTCTGAAAATCAGTAAGGTTGCTGAGGCATATCAAAAACAAGCATCAGAACCTCTCCAAACAGGAGAAATTATGTGGCAAAAGTGCTAACAACATGTCATAAAGCACAGACTTGTAAATGTTTACTAGAACTAGTAAAAGTAACTGAAAACATTGGATGTATTTTTAATTTTCCTCACGTTTTAAAATATATGGAGTCCAGTTGTCAAAGTGATGTTTTTTGGAGATGGTCCAAATGTCTGCATTATTAATAGAAGATGTCATCAGGTCTATCTCATTAGGTCTTCCTGTTGCATTATTCTAGATATAGAAACTGAACAGCAAACCTACCCTGTTCATCAGTTTTTGGTCCTCCTCAAACTTCTGCTCAGAGCAACAAAATAAAAGGTCTTTTTATTCCTAAATTTCAGGCCAATGAAGTTATTACAAGCATGGGACTCTGCAGAAAGGATAGTGAACACACCCTACCTGATAATGAAGAAGCTGCCCTCAGCATCTTTTGCACAGCACGTCTAGGCAGGTCCTTCTAGCAGTTATACCTAAAAACAATGAGAGGAATGAAAAAGACTGCAGAAATGAGTACAGAAACATCAGAGCTATGTTGTCCTGTTTACATCATAAGCTATAAACCCTGAAATGTGTACAGCATGGATATTGGGTTCTCAGCTCTAACCCTTTCACTCTACATGTCTATCTCTCTTGCTGATGTAGACATATCCTCTGTATTCCCCATTCTACATGTACTGACCCATCTCCCACCTCTTTAAACTGGCAGCTCCATGCAATCTGCTTCTTCCTCTATATGAATGAGGAGGAGGAAACTTCTACCACACTCAAAAAGATCTTGAAAAGACATTTTCTCATTTCCCTTTGATCATACACTTCAGAGTGTCTTAAAACTCACCCTTTGCATTTAAGGATAATTTTAAGTCAGTTAAAGGAAAACTGAGTTGTACATGAATAGGAGAAATTTTGGAAAGGGGAAAAAAGCCAGGGCATTAAAAGCTAGATGAATATAAAAGCAAAATATTTTTAAAGAACACAGATTATTTAAGGAAACATTATGAAATTGTTAATGTCACTTTCTTCTGGAAGATATACAAATCAAGACAGACAAATAACCTAACTAAAAACCATGTAGCCAATGGGTAAGTCATGTACTAAGTAGAGGAGGAATACTTTCACTTGATCATTTCACAGCTGAACAGCAGACTGTGATTTCTCCAGAGAGGCTTCTTCTGCTGTAGACTTTGTTTGTATAGTGAGAACAATGTCTGAAAGAAGGTATTTCAGTTTCAGGTCTTTGTTCCAGTTTCCAGGCTCTTGACAAATTTAAATTACATACTTTTTCCATGACAGGGAGAATATTGTATAAAGAATTGTGACCTGATTATTTATCTGCTATATATTTAACTTGTAATATTTTCACCTCAGAGAATCAAACAGGTTGATATTCCTCAGAGTCTAGGAAATGGATTTTTAATTAGCTACCCAGAGAATGTTTCCAGATGATGGATGTGAAGGTGATTTTAGTATTCTGTTTTACTCCTGGCCAATGATGTTTGCACTGTATTTTAAACTAGGGTTTAAGGTCAGCCTTCTGGCACAGACAGTCTATTGAACACTGGTCATGTCTGCCATTGGTCTCTGCAGGGGAGAAAGACAAGGGAAGGTGAGGACAGAGGCAGCAGTAGTTTCCATGATCCCACTAAGGTGATATGGGAGCTTGCCTGAAATGTTCTTTTTGTTCCTTTCCGTAAGGCAGAAGGGATTGGATCAACTATTAGGCACAACTAGCCAGCTGGTATTGGGGAATTTCTTTTACAATAGAGAGAGATGGAGAACTCCAGAGCTACATGAACTTTTCCTTTATTCAATTCCTACTCCTTCTGGCAGCTGAGCAGTATTAAGTGTACACTATGCTAGGATGATACTGCGAAGAAGCATGAGGAGAGGGAAAACTGCATTTGTGCATGAGATGTTCCCCCATCTTGCCTGGGGAAGCAAGGCCCTGGAATCAGAAGAAGGAACTGCCACTCAGCTGATACAGGAAGCTGGTATGGAGGGAAAATAAGCCAAAGATGTTTTATTTCTACCCATTCCCCAAAGTACATTCCCAAAAGACATGTACTTATTGTTTGCAAGCTTGATCCTAACTTATCTCACTGAATGGCCCTTAAAGGTTTGGCAAATTTGGGGCCTGAGCTAGGGGACTAGCTTGGAATCTTGGATTTAGATTCAACAATGTGAATGCAAATTGGGTTAGATTTTCAACTTAGAGAACTGATTGAAGATGAAAACATGCTCACTGAATTGATACTCACCTAAAGGAACATCCTGCTCTTAATCCTGTTGGGATAAGTCTGCACAAGTCTTGCTAACAGCCTGAGCTAACCAGCTATGAGCTAGATGTGTAGCTGTGCTTAGTGCAATTCCACGTTTGATCTAAAATGCCCGACTGAACAGTATGATATACCAAACTGGGCTTAGTGCTAGGCTTACAGTGCTATATACCTTCCAGTCTAACATAGAGGTTTGTGAGGCCTGTGCACCTGAAAAATACCACGTGGGTACACCACTGGTCCAACAACCTTAAGGAGGTGAAAAGCAGGAACATGAAGGAGTTAGAACAGATAAGACTTGGTTAACATGAGCCCAAGAAACCAAGACTGCTGAATTTTGTATTTATAAAAACAAAGCAAAAGACTACTACTTCTCCTAGGTCATTTAACACCTACGCTGATGTCTTGGAGAAAAAAATATATAGTATACAAATCAGCATTGAGGGAAAGAGAAAAGAAACGAGAAAGGAATTAGAAATATTGACTTCCTCACATGTTTATATGAGGACTATTTGCTAAAGAATGTACAAGAAATTAGCAAGGAGGCTGTAGTGCAAAGTACAGTCCCATTTGCAAGTTACTACAGAAGAAGCACGGGTACGAATTTAAAGTGTTTCTGTTACTGCATGTTAACTGCCAGGGTGCACATTTGGACTATGTAGTAAACATGAGGTTGTCTATGCTACAATGAAATAGAGGTAAGCTACATTGCTTTATGATATATGATATATATACAAATGACATACAATGTCCGTTTTCACTATCATAAAGTTCTCACTCTAAGCTTACCTTCTGTTAACTTACTCATGAAACAAAATTCTGAAAAGAATTAAAATAAGTTATTGGAATTTGGGTTACATATACAGAGACTATTGAGACATTACTGAAATGGGAAGTATTTTTCGTCTAAAAAATTGGCAAGTTCTAGTCTACTTAGGTTATTATGCTGTACAAGTGACCCTCAGAGCACTTAATTCTGGACTCTTCACTGCCAGAAAGATGAAGACAAACTGAATCCTTCACTGTTGCTTAGTATATTAATGTTCCTACTTTTTAATCCTGTCACCTTTAAAGGTAAAGATCTCAATACCAATTACCATCTGTCAGACTGAACGAAGAGCAAAAAGAAACATATTTTATGACAGGGCAGAATTCTGTATATATAAAAGCAGAGTAACCCTAATGATTTCAGTGGTATTATTTCTGTATTACACTAGCAAAAGCGGGATCAAATTCTGTTACAGCTTATCTCTATATCACTATAAATGACCTATTTTTTTTTTTTTTATAAAACCTGTATGTATCACTCTTAGAAGGATATCTGTCTTTACACTTGACATTAGAGTGTCCTTTCTTTTCAGTCTAAGTTGTCTATTCTTCCACAGGCTAGCTAGAAATACTTCTTTCCCAGAGTAGCATATGGTCTGGCTTTGTGAATGATAAACCTCATGGGGTAGTTCCTTACTGGTTAAAAGGTTTTCAGAGTATTAATCCTGAGAATCTGAATGTAAGGGAGAGATATGGGAACTATAAACTGGATTTTCACTCACTTTTTTGAAGTTTCTATCTGCTTGAAGGGACTATGTATCCAGAAAGCAGGGGGCATTGGCTGTTTGAAAATTGAAGCTGTTTTAAGGTGTCACAAATGGTATACAGAAGTTTAATGGTCATTTAAAAAATCCAAACAAACTCTAGACAGGTATATTTTAAAATATTTTTGAACCTCAGATATATTTAACCTCTCATCCTTAACTTTAAATTTAAAATTGCATTTTGTACTTTAAATTACATTATATTAAATGAAAAACAAATAGCTTTCAATTGATAACACTGTGAAGTAGTTTATTTGTTTTTAGAGATAGGTTGGACACAAGAGATAATTAATATTTTTGTGGGCTCAATCTGCTTTTTATATCTTTTTATATAGGCACTATAAAAATTTGTTCTATAATATTCTAGCAACTCAATACTTTTTCCCCAGAATTGTGTGTCATATTTTACATGCAAAATATGTTATGGAGAACATACTGGTGCATAACTACAGTAAAGTATCTGTTCCTCATAGTCTGACAAGAAAAATAGTTGGGGCAGACCACTATGGGTTTGATTTTTTTTTTGGCTTCTAATTTAGTACATCTCCCCCTTTCATCTGAAATGTCCTTCACATCTACCAGTGCCTACAGGATTTAAGGCTACTCTTGTATAGATTAAATCAATGTTAAAACTCATTAAGTTTTACAAATATAGGATAAAACTTTCAGACAGGCATGGTTTGAATTTGAAACTTAACTACATCAGATCAGTATAGAATAATGTGTGTTGGTTTAAGCAACCACATTAAAATACTTTCAAAATCATCTGTGCATCATACTTGTAGAAGACAACATAATGTTGACTAGAAAGCATATGATGACATATCCATATCTTTGAACATACTGGAAGAATGCAGGCACAGGTCCTAGTATAAAAGACCATGAAATGAAACACTGTTTTCAATGCTGACAAGGAAATAGGGACCCCAGATGTGACTGGCTATTGTGCTGCTTACTTTGATTTCTGTCTGAAACATTTATCCTACTTGTTTTGTTTGCTTTCATTCAGAGGTGTTTCTCCTGAGGCCCTTGCTTAGTTTTTGCCCCATAGCCCTGAATGTAAAAAATTGTGCCTTCTCTTGCAAGGCTGCATCTTCTGCTCTATGTCCCCTGGGGGGCACAAGGACATAATCTCCTCCTTTGTACAGAAGTAACTATATTATCAGACTCTCATCTGTTTATCCAAGGTCAATGTCTACCAGGAAAAAAAGCCATCTTGGGATTTTCAATAATAAGACATAATTAGGAATTCTTTCTTATTTGGCATCACCTGCAGCTCAGCACCACTGCTTTCAGAGTAATCCATAGGGTCAGTGTTACCATAGGAGAAAAGCTGCCACTCAGGAAAAGCAGAAGCATTGTTCCTTGCTATTCTTACAGTAGTACTATCCCAGCTGGACTCTGCTTACATTATACGAGCTGATGTGATCTCAGACCTAAGTGGTGTGGCCACAGGCAAATAAAAGAAAACACAAGTATAAATCTAGGGAGATTTCTGTTTGCAACAGTAATGCTTCAAGCAGAAGCACTAAGCTGCACTTATCCCATTTGAATTTTGCTTTTCCAGTCTGTCCTAATAAGATTCACTCATATGAGCTAAGTATTTCCCTCAGTAACCATCCTTGCATTATTAATAACCAACTCAATTTTGCTTGCTAGAATAAGAGCTCTCCTTTAATATGTAAGATTAGGTTCAAGTAACAGTCTTTCATGAATGCATATATTATCAGTCTTTTCCACTAATTGGTCTCAAAGTATGTCATCAATCTTATCACCCAATCCACATGGTTTGGAAGCTGTTCTCCAACTCAGATGCTAACATTCAGCTAAAGACCTTAACAGTCACGTAGGGGGAAAAGCTGAGGCAAATGTTAGCTATGCTCCACGGCAAAGCCAGCAAGAATGAAGAGATAAAGCTATCCAATGCTCTTAGAAGAGCCACCATATTACTACATGTAAAGGAATATCAGAACGGAAAATCAGTGATGGAAGCACGTGAGTCTGGACTTAATCCTTCAGTGCTTAATCCATTTTGATGAAACAGGTCTATCACTGCAGTTAATCTCTGAAGGACATGTGTTTACCTTAAACAGTCCTGCTAATTGTTAGATTATTCAAAAACAGATGCAAGGGACGCAGAATTATGTATTTCCCATTGTAAGAGGAACAGTTCGATAGTCAGTCCTCTTTTTTTTTTTTTTAATTTATTTAGTATAAGAAGAGAAATAGCTGTAATCTCTAAAGCAGAACTGTATATAGTCAATGATAGAACAGGATGCAAAGTCTCTGCTTACCACTGGCTGAAGCCAGATTTATTTATCTTAGCTCTTACTCATTCTCAGCTTCATTACCCATGTGGAAGACGCGACTCCTGAATAAAAGTATTGGAGCCAAGGGATTTTTTCCTGCATGACAATTTTTTTTTTAAAGACATAAAAAAGTTAGTCTCAGTTCTGAGGGATGGCACAATGGGAGCCATTAGGCTACCAAGTTATGGTTAGCCAGTTGTGTCAAAGGAATTTCCTCCTCATGAATTTCATTATCCTCATCACACAGAGCTAACATCTCTTCTGCCAGGGAGAGATGGTATATTGGCACACCCTTGGGACAACATTTTCATTCAGTAGGCTGAAGGTTCTGTTACAGGTTTTAGCATATAATACCTATATATGTTTTGGTAAGTGACATACTTACTGGTTACCTCTTCCTCACTGGCACAAGAACAGTCATCTACAGCTGTAACACAAGACTCAGCAACATCTAAAACCCACACTGAGTGCCTCTTACTGCTCCAGCGATGTCATTTGCTCTCTGGGCAGACTCCTGGCTTTACCGAAATGAGGGACTCTGCTCAGTCTGCACAGTAGGCTGATGCAAAGTGGCTCCATTCAGACATCTTAGATCTCCTCTTGCCAAGCTGTGGGCTTTACACCTCCAGACCCTTCCAGAACCAGATCCTAATGTCTTTGGCAGACAGCAAGGC